GTCTGCTGCCCCTGCCGCAGCTTCCCTCCAGGCCCCTCTCAAGCTTGGCAGGAGTCGGGTTCCCCTGTATCCTCTCTCCTTGCTCTAAGTGTGTCTCTGGTGCGAGCTGGAGTTAAGAGGGCAAGGAAGCAAACACATTGGAGCTCTTCTGGGTCAGAGTCCCTGAGTGTCTGTCCTCAGCCAAGCCTGGTCTGTGTGTCTGTGTTGTGAAGCTTGGGACACTGGAGCCAGGTGTGTGAGGGTAAAGGTTGCCCTAAGAATGCTTGTTCTTCTGTTCTTGTTGGGATTTGTTCGGGGGGAGGGGGGGGTTGGGGGAAACTTCCTTGTGTATTCATCAATAAACTCATTTACACAAAATAAAGTTTGTGTGTGTACTATGTTCTCAGGTCTGACACCCCAGGATAAAACATAGCTGACCAGAGAAGGGACATTAGTAACCCTTTTTTTTAAATGGCTCTAGCCCTCCCAGGGGTTCAGCTAGATGAAATTAGGATTGAGAAAAAGCCTTTATCTCAGGAAGCCACCTGGTGTTCCAATTCTCAAGTCACCTCCCTTCAGGAAGGTGTGTGCAGGGAAGCCAGTCTCTCTGGCAGCTGTTCCCAGACACTGGGAGTCCCCCATCCCCCTGGATTGTCAGTATCTGCCAGCATAGCCAAGGGCAGGAACATAGAGGGGCTGATGCGGGGCACCTGTTACCCAGGTTGTCTCAGCACTCAAGTGCAAAAGCCTCTTGAACCCAGGGCCAGCATGTTCCCAGCAAGTGGGACAGCCCGAGATATCCAGAACTGTTGTGTATTGCTTGAAGAAGCCCTTGGGCAAGTCCTTGAACATCTCACAAATATAGATAGGGTCTGGAGTTTTCAGCACTTAATTGCTCAAAGTAGTTGCTTTTGGTGTCTAGACAATGAGCTGCCTTTGGCAACTGGGGGCCCTCTGCTGGACCTCCAAGCTCTAGGGGAACCCTGAGAAAGAAAGAAGGTCTCTAAGTTGAAGTTCAGGTCAGGCTACCGAAGAGCAGTCTTGGGCTCTGTCTGGGATAAGGTCAAGCAAAGTCCCCAGACACACGCAGCTCAGGTGCAAGTCACCTGCAGAGCTTTCAGAATGATGTATCTTCATATTGGACGAGTGAGTCGGGGTGAAGGTGAGCTGGCCCAATGGTAAAGGCATCTGAGAATCTGATTCACATCGGGGGAGGAGAGAACCAACTCCCGGAAGTACACACAAACCCACACCATTGCATGTCTGTGCCCGTATGTACGCAGACAATAAATTGCTTTAAAAATATTTAATAGTGGGGCTGGAGAGATGGCTCAGAGGTTAAGAGCACTGACTGCTCTTCCGGAGGTCCTGAGTTCAATTCCCAGCAACCACATGGTGGTGGCTCACAACCATCTGTAATGAGATCTGGTGCCCTCTTCTGGCCTGCAGGCATACATACAGGCAGAACACTGTATACATAATAAATAAATAAATCTTTTTAAAAAAAATATATTTAATAGTGTTTCCCCGTGCTCATCTACAGCAGTACTTGTGGTAGAATGGTAAAGCACTCAGTGCCCACAATATCTGTTTACCCTGCTCATCTGCACTTGGCATCACCTGCTTTTCAGGGCGATGTGGCCCCACATCTGACTGCATGGCAGTTCCCTCTCACTCCACAAAAGCTGCTCCCCTCCCACTCACTGTATCCAGCTTTGCTGAGTCCTGAGGATGGCCATATGCTCAAAGCAGCTGACCACCCTCCCACACCCCCAACCTAAACCTGTTTTCAGAGACTGCACTGTTCTCTGCCCCTGGGATGGGCCTCAGGTACGTTCTTGCAGAGGACTCTCCAGTCTGGGCCTTCCTCCTCCCACTGCTTGCATTAGTACTTCCGGTCTTGCTTGGACCCTGATTTTTCCCTGCCACCCTCAGCTCTAAGAAGCAAGAGCCTGTTTATTTTAATAGCTGGTATGGCGCTTGGGAAAGATCACACCTCCCCCGTTGTTACCCATTTCTATCTCCTGAACACTAATCCTAGAATCCCAGCCAGCCCCCGGACATGGTATTAGCAGCAAGGACGTTTCTTGAAAAGTTTTGAGTTAGCTTTGGACTTGCCTCCTCAGGTTTCTAGTTTTGCTTTTGCCCTGCCGTTCTTGATGCTGCCAACAAGGGGGAAGCCTCAGCTGGGGGTTGGTCAGACCTAGATTCTTAGTTGGAAAAGTGACTTGAGCTGTTTAGGGAGCATTGTTTGGGGACAACACTGCCAAGGATCAGATCCGCCTTCAGGCAGAACCCTAACACCTTAGCTAAGAGTGCCTGTTGGTATGGAGGATGGAAAGGCGAGAATCAGTCTTAGCTGACTCTCCTTCCATTCACACTCGCAGTGGGCCTCTGATGGGACAGGTGGGTCTAGCCTGTCTATCTTCCATACCCTGGCTTCAGATGCTACAGAGGGCACACACAATTGCTCACCTAGAACCTGAGTTTGTGAGCTTGCCCCTCAGTCACCAGGAATCCTTAGCCACAGTCACAAAGGCAGACAGATCCAAGGACCAAACCCCTTTAGCTTTCCCAACAAGGTAATCGTAGTGACAGAGAAGAGTAAACAGGGCCCAAATCAGCTCTCAGCAGAGCAAAATGAATTAGCTTCAGTTTAGGGAAAATACTACCACTGTTTCTTCTTTAAATAAAAGCAGTGCTTTAAATGGCATGCCACTGAAGGCTAGTATGAAGTCCCATAATCTGTAGGGTAGAGGCTTGCAAGGTTTCTTATTTCTAGTCCTCAAGCTGAAATGGACCTATGTCCCAGGGGAATAATTGAAAGCTTCAATCCTCAGGCAAGACGGGGATGAAATATGTTTGAGATACAGTATGAAAGAGTGTCCTGGATGATTTATTTAATGAAGCTAAGAGGATGTCAGTGACTCGACTGGAATCCCTTGGGATCAGTCACATCTAATTGCCACCCAGCCCCAAAGTGGTGCTCTGAGAGAGGGGCCCCGACCTTTCCCAGTCCTCAAGCCTGCATCCTAACTCCAGGAGCCCACCTAGAATAAATGGGAATGCTCTCTCTCTCTCTCTCTCTCTCTCTCTCTCTCTCTCTCTCTCTGTCAGTAATGCTCATCCAGAAAGGTAAGACACACACTTGGGCTCCATACCGTGCAGTGTGTAAAGGTATCACACACCTTGGCTCATTTCTGCCCTGTCTGCAACAGTGGGGGAAAGAACTAGAATCTGTTTCATAAATACAGGCTCCTTCTTGCCTCCATCACACAGTACAGGGCAGGGCTGAAATCAAATACAGAGCTGTCTGACTGGGAAGCCAGGCTTCTGAGCACTGCACCTTCTGCCCAGCAGAGATGGAGACAGCGATGGAGACAGCCGTCGGGGAAATGCCCAAAACACAGAGCCCAACGGGAGAAGGGGAAGAGGGTCTGTGAGTTAGTTGGAGCTTCGGAGGAGGATGCAGTCACAATGGGGAAAACCCTTGGCGGATGGGCACAGACCAGTTTCTCCTTGCCATGCATTTAATGCCCAGCTGTGATGTCCTGCTTCCTATCCATCCAGTACAGGACAAAAGAACGAACTCCTGGTGGTTTGGGTCAGTGATAGTTTTCCTTGTCAACTTCACTGGATTTGAAATTACCCAGGAAACACATCTCTGGGTGTGCCTGTGAGGGTGTTTCCAGAGAAGTTCAAGTGAAGAGGGGAAACCCACCTGAATGTAGGCAAAGGGGAAAAAATGCACTTAACCTAGCATTCACCTCTGCTCCCTTCCTGGCTGCCCACATACCGTCAGCCACCTCTCATTCCCACCTCTTCTTCTGGCCACAATAGACTGTCACCCTAAACCACGGGCCAAAATGAACCCTATCTCCCTGAAACCACTTTGTCAGGTATTTGCTGCACCAAGAAAAGAACTAGAAGAGGGTCTCTGAGACTCTTTTAGGGGGGCAGAAAGCAGTCAAGAAGGCACAGGAGTCACAGTTCGAGGTCAGAGGATGTATGGGAGTTCTCTCCTTTGGATCCCGGGGAACCAAAACCAGGTCCTCAAGCTTGGCCGTAAGCACCTGAACAGGCTGACATCTTGCAGCCAGAGACCTTGTCTTAAACTCTCCCAACATCTTCTGGCCCCATTCTTCCAGCCTGTGGGGTTCTGTCAGGTCTCTCCACTCTCTCCTAAAGCCCCTACTATTGTGCCAAGCCTCTGCTGACCCCTCTAAAGGACTGGCTGGGCTGCTCTGCCCTCCCAGACACTTTGACTTCGAACACAGGGATTTATTTGTCTTTGGCTTCCCACTGGACTGTGAGCCCTCTGCTGAGCTTTTCCATAGCTGCCTAGCTAGTGACTCAGCCTTTGTATTCCACATTTTGCATTTAAATACGAGGACTTACTCATCTTTTCTCAACCTCAATGATCTCATCTGTAGAATGGGGGAAACAGAGCCTGTTTCATGGAATGTTCTGGGGCTTTAACTTGAGGATTTAGGCAAAGCTCTTAGCATACTAGGATGTTAGCTACTGATAAAAATATGTTGATGAGGATTGCTTGAGAATAAATACAAGAGAAACTGCGCCCTCAAGCCTGGCGAATGCTGGGATCTCACAGAGGAGAGGGACTGCAGTTTTAGAGGGGTGGAGGTCATGCTTTGGCAGGGGCCCAGCTTTGCTTGGCGCTAGCCTGGCCTGCTGTTCCCTGCCGCAGTGAAAGGCGAGAGTGACCACCCTCTACTCCGTCCTCCGGGGGTGGAGGAGCAAAAGAACCTGGATGTCAGCACCCAGGGCAGGGCACACGCTGGGCAGCTGCCAGTCACTGACTGACCAGACCGGTAAGGGTCGGAAGGACAGACCGTGGGGAGGAGGGGACCAAGAGCTCAGCTGGGGGCAGGGTGGGTGGCGGTGAGGACAGGCAATCGCAATGAAGCGACAGGCTCCGGGGCCTTTTCGGTCCCCGCCTCCGACTCCTCCAGGTTTGAGCCACATTTTCCCGGGGGAGAGTCAGGAGGGAGTTGAAGGTCGAGGTTAGGGACTGGGGAGCCGGTCTCGCGGCGCCCAAGTGAATCCGTCGGGCTCGGGGACCCAGCGGATCCCCCCGCGCCCGCCTCCCTCTCCGCCGGTGCGAGTGGGGCGGCGCGCTCCGCAGGGCGAGCAGCTGAGCGACCCTCAGTGCTGCGGCCCCCCGCGCCCCAGCCCGCCTCGCCCGGGCCGCGGGAGGCGCCCCTCACTCTCCCCCCGGGCGGGGGAGCCCAAGGCAGCGCCGGAGCCCGGGGGGAGCGCGGCCGCGCCGGCCAGGGCAGGGGGCAGGCAGCCGGGACGGCCCCGGGTAAGCGGGAGGAGGAGGAGCGGGGTGACCGCGGGGTGAGGGGCGGCCCGGAGGCGGGGGGCGGGGGTGGCGAGGAAGTGGCCGCGGGAGTGGAGCTGGGGCCGGAAGCCAGCGGGGTTCCTGCCCCCACACCTACCACCGCTGGGGTCACCCGGAGCCCGGCATCGGCCGGTGCCCCCACCCCTGTGCGAACGTGGTAGGGACACACCGCGCAAGCATGTAGGGCCCGGCCTTTAGGATTCTCAGAAGCCCCTGACCTCCCCAGTGTGAGGTAGAGACCCAAGTCCAGGCCAGGGAAGGGACTGGAGAGAGGCTGTGGCCTGAGTGTGTGACCCCTGTCTATTGCCTGGAGCTGTCTGCAGATCACTGCAGAATGCAGGCCCTGGGGAAGCTCAGGGGGCTTGGGCCCTGCTTCCCGGGACAGATCTTTCACCCCACATAACTAGGCATGGGTTTAGTAAAACGCTTAGACCCAGGATCTGTGCCAGGGAAGAAAGAGGAGATATCTGTCCCCTTTGAGTTGGGAACACTTAGGCCTGGTAGTTACAGAGGCTGGCCCGTGCCTAGGGGGCTATTCTTGCCCCTGCTCCTTGGCTCCCAGACTGTACCTGGTTTTTGTTTCTGCTACTACTAAGAAAGAGTTGGTTTTTGGGCTTGAGAATCTGCAGGTAGGGGTATATCCTGAAACCTCCAAATCACCACACCCAGAGTGACTCCAGACTCCATTTCCTTGTTCTTTGCCCTCTCTTATTGCTCCGGACTCCCCCATCCCCACCTGCTTGTGCTGTTATGTAATTAACCCAGCTGAGTCTCTTTGCCAAGCTGGCAGCATCCAGGAATGCCCCGAAGGCCTAAGGACCTGAAGGGATCCTGTGTTGGGAGGGTTGGTCCTGTCTCAGCTGGCAGCAGACTCAGCAGAGAGCACCTGTTGGGGAAAGGACATGCATGAGGCACAAAGGAGGTTAGAGTCCTAGACTTAGCTTCCCTGAGGCCCTGGGGTCTTGTTTTGTTGGTGGTGGTTTATCTCTTCAACAAAGTGAAAGGCATCATAGGCATGCGCATGGGTGCCCAGGCACACACACCACAAGTATGTGAGTCCACACAGCAGTAAATCGTGACTCCTTCCAAGATGGCCAGGAAGTCCGACTGAGCATCCAGGAAAACCTTAGGTGGCCAGCAGTCACTGTTCATTGCTTACCCACTCTGCGCCAGGCATGGGCTTTTCCATGAACAATCTCACCGTACCTAGGAAGTTTCTTGGCCAAGGTCATACTTAGGTGAATGGCAGGGCTGGGAATCAAACCTTGATGGCTCCTCACTCCAAGCCCTGTCTTTTATTTACCATTGCGCATGCGTACATACCAATAGATTGAGTGCTTTAAACCAGGACAGTTGAGGGAACATTCAGCTATGAATCGAAACGATTCATATATATATGAAAAGAACATGCATCTACCAGAACACACACACACAGAGACAGAGGCTGAAACCATGGCACCCTCAAGACCTAGTAAATCCACCTCCCTGTACCCATTTACTAACTGTGGCCACTATTCAACCCAGGAGGAAGGTTGTCTCCTTCCAGCTGAGAGATTTACTTAGGTTGTCTTGGAAGTGGGGGCTGTTGGCTCCCCTTTACATATGTGTAGTGCATGGCTCCAAAGCAGGTGTTTCACCCACAGACCTACAGCTAAAAAAATCATCAAAGCTGGGGGTTTTGTCCGAGCTCTAAAAGTCACAGGCACTGAGCAAGCAGAAAACTAATGAATTCATCTCCAAGTCCAGCCTCTTCCTGAGCAGCAGCTTTGTGCTGCGAGGCCCTCTGAGCTCCAAGGGATGTCAAAGACTCAGACCCTGCTTTTAGTTTGTCGCTGTTTAGAGTCACTACGCTTAAACATGATAAGCCGCACAACCTGTAGAAAGTAGCGGCAGGTCCTAGTTGTGTGATTTGGGGCTACACGGAGCTTCTCTGAAGCGCAAATAGGAATACTTTTCCCTTAGGGGTATTGTATTGACCGAGGATAACCGCGTTGGCGGGCTGGCAGCCAGTGCTCAACTGTGTTGCTCTCCGGAGTCAATGCAATCATCTAGTTCAGTGGGACTTTGGGAAATGCTAGGGGCATTTTGGGTCATCATGGTAACTGGAGGCTGCTATGGGAAGTTATCTCCTGAGAGCCACAAAATGAAGATGTCCAAAATAATGAGTCCTGCACTAAAAGAGCTTCCTCCCCTGAGGATGCCCAGAGGGCCTCCACTGAAGTCAGGGTATGACTGAGACCCAGAGGAGGGGCCATTTATCCCAGGTTTGGGGCTGGGCCTGGAATTTGAATCCAAGTCTAGAGCTGTCTCTGCTGTGCACTGAAGTATGCAGGTTGAGGGGAATTGGGGCACCGTGCACAGCAGGGGTTGCAGGAAGGTGAAGAAGCTTGGGGGGATAGATTGAGATAGTGGCTCTGGAAAAGCGAGACTTCCCAAGTGACATTGGCAGCTTCCGCAAAGATGCAGAGGTGAAAAATAACAGCACTGGTCCAGGGATGATGACCCAGAGCACTGAGCCCAACTCTTGTCCCCTCAGTCTAGGTGGTGGCCGAAGAGGGCCAGAGGCAAGCAGAGGGAGCAATGGTTGGTCCTGACGGTGGCTGAGCCCCCAGCCCCTGGAATATGCAGCCCGGAGGAGCCCCAGGCAAGGACACGGTGGCGGAGTGGGGCGGGAGGCATGGTCTCCACCTACCGGGTGGCCGTGCTCGGGGCGCGAGGTGTGGGCAAGAGTGCCATCGTGCGCCAGTTCCTATACAACGAGTTCAGCGAGGTCTGTGTGCCCACCACCGCCCGCCGCCTCTACCTGCCTGCTGTGGTCATGAACGGCCATGTGCACGACCTCCAGATCCTGGACTTTCCACCCATCAGCGCCTTCCCTGTCAACACACTGCAGGTAAGCTGCCCATGGAGGCAGTCAGGCGACCGGGGAGAGGAGATGCCAACCCTCTCCACCTCTCCAGCTCTGGCCCCACTGCCAGGAACTCCACACCACACCCTGGGCCTCCCTCCTTAAAGCCATCCCAAGAAGCTGCTCCTTTGTGTGCTAGTGAATTTCAAAGATGTTTGATGATTGTTTAATGTGTGCCAGGCCCTGCACTGGGCACCAAGACTGAATTGTCAGCAAAAGCAGAATATGGAGTTTGCTTTCAAGGAACTCATAGTCTGGTGAGAAAGGACTAACAGTTATTGTGCGATGTAATGAAGGTTGTGATTGAAGGTGGTGTGGGAGAGCTAACGCAGCCCTGGCTGGAAGGGTCTACCATGCTCAGGTGTACTGCGTCGCGGAAGGTGATGTCTCAACAGAGTAGAGGCAGTGGAAGAAGAACTAATAACCCTAATGCCTGTTCATAAGCTGAGCTCTCCTGCCATGGCCTCACACCCTCGCTGTCATCTGTAGAAGGGCCGGCAGGACAGACTGAGACCTGAGAAGGGATGTTCTCAATGACTCTGGAGACCCCAATCAGATCCTTTGCCCAAGGCCTTTTCTCTCAGGAACCCTTATTCCCAAACCCCAGGACAGCCTCACGACCCCTTGCAGAATTAGATTTAACCATCCCCACTGCCCGCACTCCCTCCCCCACCCCACTCCCAGGCACCTCCCCCCCTCCCCCCTTTAGAACCAGAGCTTTCACACCTCTCTCTCCCTCTGGCTTGGGAGGAAGTTGGCTGCAGGGGAAGCGGAAGCAGAGCTCCCCCAGATGGGCCAGAGAGTGCAGAGGCTTGTGGACATTTCATAGAGACAAGAACAAGCCCTGGCCAGTTGTGACAGCAAATTCAGCCATCTCTGGCTGGGGCCTGATGGAGCTCAGCTGCCTCAACAGGAGAACCTTGGCCCATCCTGCTGTGAATATTTGACTCAGCACCCCAAGGAGAAACCTGGTCCAAGCATTTGATCCACAGTGTGCCTGAGAGGTCAGGACCTTCTACTTCTCACTTGGAAATTTTGGTGAAATCTGGCTCCATGCCAAGTACACCTTTCACGTTCAGTTGGTATCTGTCTTTACTAATTTCAGAATGGGTCAGGGGCATAAATGCCTGAACTGTGGCCTCGCACAATCCGTGTTCCGCCTCTGCCCCTTCTCCCTGTAGTAACCCTCCCTAGCCATTCTCACTGATGATTCATTGACACTCAAGCAAGAAACCATATTTTCATTCAGTCTCCCCTTTTTCCATAAAAATCAACCCCACTATGCCCCGTGTCTTGTTTTGGGCTGTGGCTGTGGCTGTTGTTTGAAGCTTAGGATAGAACCCAGAGTTTCCCACATGGTAAGCTAGCACTCTACCGCCGAGCTCCATGCCCAGACTTCTATCTTCTTCTCGCTGTTTTCATTAAGAGACAGGATATGGCTATGTTGCCCAGCTGGCCTTGAATTTAAAATCCTTCTGCATAGTCCTCTGGGTAGCTGGGATTACAGGCATGCATCTCCAAACCTGGCCCTTGCTTATTTAATTTAACATTTTGGTTTTTGTTTGTTTTGTTTTTGTATTTGTGGGTTTGTTGTTTTGATTTGTTCTTGAGGCATGGTCTTTCTATGTAGCCCTGGCTGCCCTGGAACTCATTATGTAGACCAGGCTCAAAGAGATCCATCTATCTCTGCCTTCCGATCTTGGGATTAAAGGTGTGCAACACCACACTTAACATTGTAACCTGAGCTAATATTTCCTGCCTCTGTCTGGAGGATATCCTCACTCTCTAGACCGTTTGGGCCAATGCCAAAATAAATAAGTAGCCTATGTATAAGTCAGTTTGCACGTAGGTCACGGTATTTGCAGGAGCGGTTAATAGAAATGGCGTTGCCAATTCAAAAGATAAATAGACATGGGATTTAGAAAGTGTCTCCAAAGTCCTTTCTCTAAAAGTTTTATGTGTATCCTATGAAAGTCTGGGATTTTTTGACACTCTAGAACAGTGGTTCTCAACCTATGGGTTGTGACCCCTTTGAGGGATACCCTATCAGAGATCCTAAATAACAGATCTTTACATTATGATTCATAGCAGTAGCAAAATTACAGTTATGAAGTAGGGACAAAATAATTTTATGGTTGGGGTCCCCACAGCATGAGGAACTGTATTAAGGGGTTGCAGCATTAGGAAGGTTGAGAACCACTGGTCTAGAAGATGAGAGAGGATATTTTCAGTTTCTTTGCGTAGTGAAGGTCGTGCATTTTCTATATAGTTAAGACTTTTATGTTTCTGGTTTTGGTTTGGTTTGGTTTCTTTCTAAGAACTACTAATATTATTTGCCTGTTTGGGGTTCTTATTATTGGGGGTTTTGTTTTTGAGGCGGGGTTTTGTGTAGTTCAAGCTGACCCGGAACTTTTTCTATAGCCAAGGATGACCTTGAACTCCAGCCTCTCTGTCCCAAGTGCTAGGATTAAAGGCATGCAGCACCATGTTTGTGTGATTCTCCTCCTCCTTCTCTTCCTTTTCTTCTTCCTCTTCCTTCTGTTTCTGAGACAGGGTCTCCCTACATACACAACCCTGGATATCGTGGAACTCACTATATAGACTAGGCTGGCCTCCAACTCACAGAGATCCATCTGCCTCTGCTTTCCAATCTTGGGGTTGAAAGTACGCATCACCACACCTGGTGACCCTTTTCTTCTTGACTGACCCTTCTATTAGATGCTAAGATCTCAAGGATGCCACTGCTGGAGCACAGTTAGGGACTCTGAGTACAGAAGTCTCAAGAAAGGACCTTGAAGGCTCTACAGTCAAATATCAACCTTAAGAGTTTTGATGGCTGCTTTCTAGGAATAAAATAAAGTAATGCTTCCTAGAGTTTGGGCCTGTTACCTTCCACAGTCTCTTCTCCTCCTTCAGAGCAGGAAGCTGAAGTTAGAGGGCATGGGCAGCCTGCCGAAGGAGATGCCTGGAAACACATGGCTAAGGCCAGGTGACTGAGCCCCTAAACTATATCCCCGGACTTAGACCCAATTCCCATTTCTCTGCCTCTGTTTCTGTCTTTGTCAGCTAGGGGCCGAGCCCAGGGCCTTGTGTGTGATAAGCACATTCTTTACCACTGGGCTGTGTGTTCAGTCCATTCTTTGACTCAATCCAGCCCACAGATGGCCTCTGGGAGAACAAATGAGAACCCTCCATGGAGCACACTGGCAGGAAAGCTGAGCGTTCTCCATCCCTCCTTTCAGTCAAGAAGTAGAGGGACAGCCCAGCCAGTCTGGGGCTTTCTGTCGTTCCCTTTAGGAAGCCTCCTGAGAGGAGTGAGTGGGAGGTATCGTGGGGTCCTCTTGAAGAGGCAGTGTGTTGGGGGAAGAGTGGGGCTGCACCCTCAGCCTGGCAGCCTCTTTCCAGCAGCCGGGGGAGGGCTTGCAGAATGGAATCTATCCTCCCTCCCTCTTCCCAGGGGTCTCCATTCCTCACGTGTGGTGGGAGACGGGTTGTGTGCATAGGCCTGCAGGCCCCTGACACCACCAGCACCTCCCGTAATGGTGTCCCACCAAATCAAGGTTTCCTGGTCTGGGAGAAAGCAGATTTATGGCTTCCTACATTCTTAGCTCTGTCCTCTGCATCCTGCCTCTGCACCAGAAATTAAAACCTCAGCACAGAGATGCCACATCATCTCCCCAGGGGAATCCACCGCAGCATCTCCCAAGCTTTGAAGCTGGAGGCGCTATTCTGAAGTCAGACTCACACTCTACAGCTGCCACCCAAGTCTGCCCCCTTCTGCTTCAGCTGAAATTCTTACCTCGACCGCATGCAAGCTGGGCCTGAAGCTGGGCCTCCACATCCTTCTGGCCTTCCTTTTCGTGTGTGCTGAAGATGGAGCTCAGGATCCCATACGTGCCAGGCTCTGCCCTATGACTGCAACCCGCCCCTTTCCTCCCCTTCTTCTCCGTGGGCCCTTATGAGGAGAGACCCTAGTTTCCTTTGCCCCCACAAGGCCTCTGCCCCCCAAAGCTTTGGGAACCTCCTTTCCATACACTGTCTTCCCTAACATCCTTTTGCACTTACATCTGATGGCAGATTAACTATCTAATTAGTCCTTAGGGAACCTTCTCGTTAACACATTTAGTCTTTCCAAGGGCCTATTCATCTTGAGCTGAAGCCCCTCCATGAGAAGTTCTCACAGACAGAAGTATTTTTAAAAACATTTAAATAGCCAAGCTAGGCATGGTGGTGCATGCCTGTAATCCCAACAGCTGAGAGGCAGAGGCGAGGCAGGAGGACCAAGAGTTCAAGGCCAGCTCGGGTTACATAGGAAGACTTAGTCCTTAAAGCAATCCCATCTTTCTGGAACTCCTTAGGCTTCTGTTCTGCGTCTCCTCCGCCCCCTTCTGCTTCCAGTCTCATTTTTTTCCTGGCTTACTACATTCAGGCTGCAACCCAAGGGCTGTTAAATTAGGGATAGGATTTACCTTGCTCCTGGTTGCGGGTACTGTGGGTTTCAGCACCATGGAGAGAGCTTACCAGTATGATTACTGCGGTTCAGAAGCTAAAACCCCACTTAACAAGGGACAAAAGTAAGGAGTGTATAAAATGGAAAACAAAACAAAAACAGGGCCCTGGCCCTCCTGGGTGCTCACTGCAGTTGCGAGGAAACAGAAATAGGATAGCTGTAACTAGGGTATAATCCATGACCTCAGACACAGGAGAGGCTGGACACAGTCCTCTGCTTGCAGGGAGGGTGGCAAGTCCGGGCTGTCCTGGGTGGGAGCTTCATGTAAGCCTTGGAAGATAATACAGTAGGTAGAATCGCTCGGTCAGGGTTGTGCTCTTAGGGGGATTCATAAATGCATGTTGAACAAAGGACTGGATGGATGGATGAATTAGAGCTAATCTCCAGATCCTCACAAGGTAGTGTGGTGGGCCAAAAAGTCAGTCAGCCTGTGACTTGCTCTCTCCTGACTGGGGAGAAGTTACAGCTCTGAGCACCTGCGTGCTGGGGAACCTGGCCTTCTGCGGGGGAGGGGATAGGGAGCTCCGGTGTGGTGTAGGTGAGAACACTGTTTGACAGGGTGGCTGGGGGCTGGGAGGCCTCGTGGCTGCTCTGACAGGGGTATTGGCTGGGGGTGTTACAGGAGTGGGCAGATGCCTGCTGCAGGGGACTCCGGAGCGTCCACGCCTACATCCTGGTCTATGACATCTGCTGCTTTGACAGCTTTGAGTACGTCAAGACTATCCGTCAGCAGATCCTGGAGACGAGGTGAGGAGCTGTGACGGTCTGTTGTCTCCGTGGGCGCCCTAATGGTGGCCTGTCTCCAAAAAGGGGGACAGGGGCAAGGGGGAGAACGCAGGTCACAGGGAAATGTATGCCTTTTCTGGTTCCCACGTGTCCCCCCACCCCTTTCTCTTTCTTCCTTTCTTTCCAACTATGTAGCCAGGCTGGTTATGAACTCAAAATCCCCCTGCCTCAGGCCCCCTAGTGCTGTAATTACAGGTGTGAGTCACATACCCTGCTTCTATTGACTCATTTTGGGACCCCTGCTTTTTACATGGCGGTAAAGAGCAGGGGCTGGGGGTACATGGCCTCAGATCAGTTAACATATAAGCCTCAGTTTCTTTGTCTGTAAAATAGACAATAGTATCGACTTTCTTGCATCCAAAGACGTGCCTTTTAGAGATGTTACCTTCCCCCAAGGGGCTGGGGCTACACCTGGGTCAGAGTACACACTAGCTCAGAGTCCAGTGGTTTTTGAGACTGGCAGCGTTTTCAGAATTCTGTTTCGACCCTCAGGGTGATCGGCACCTCCGAGACGCCCATCATCATCGTGGGCAACAAGCGCGACCTGCAACGCGGACGCGTGATTCCGCGCTGGAACGTGTCGCACTTGGTGCGGAAGACCTGGAAGTGTGGCTACGTGGAGTGCTCGGCCAAGTACAACTGGCACATCCTGCTGCTCTTCAGCGAGCTGCTCAAGAGTGTGGGCTGCGCCCGCTGCAAACACGTGCACGCCGCCCTGCGCTTCCAGGGCGCGCTGCGCCGCAACCGCTGCGCCATCATGTGATGCTGCGTGCGCCCTGCTGCAGCACTGTCCCAGCGGAAGAGAGGCCAGGGCGGGGTCAGCCTCCCTCGGGACACGTGGGCTAGAGCGGAATCCCCGGAGGAGAACTCTGGGCTCCCGGCCTGAAGCACTCCTGCAGCCACACACCTCCCCCACGAGAATCAGAGGGCGAGAGGGAGCCTCCCCGCCACTCCCCAGTCCTCCCCTCCAACCTGGGTCTCCCTGGGACAGCCACCTTCAGTGCTGTAGTGTAGTGCCCGGCCCCAGGGGGCGCCACAATCTGAGGGCTGAGCGTGTGAAATGGAGGGTAGGATGAGGAGGTGCTGTCTTGGCCGGGCCCCTGCTCATCTTCCCTACAGTGTGTCTGTCTTTGCCACGTGTCCCCTTTTGCAATGTCTGTCCACTCAAGTATCTGTCCGTCCTCATTTGTCCTGTCTTCCCTTCAGTGTCCCTCCCTGTCCCCCAGCTCCGCTCACAGGGCTCTCATTTCGTCCATCCCCTTGTCGCAGGTCCTGGCAGCTTTGCGATGCCTTCTCACCGGCAGCGCCACCGGCACAGGGCAGAGAGAGGCAAGTGGCCCAAGGACCAAAGCCAAGGGGTCCGAGGGCTGAGGTCCCACAGCCGTCAGGGAGAGAAGGCAGAGCTCTTCCTCATCCAGGGAGACCTCCCTGCCCAGCAGCCCCCAGAGACGCAACCACCTACTTTCCAGCCTTAACTCAATGGTCCCTGCCGGGTGCCCCTCACCCTTCCTGACCCCAAAGCCAGATGGGCCCCGGGCTAAAATTCCTTTTGTTTGACAGTGTGGAGAGGAAATTCCCCTAAGGATAGTTTTCTCTCCATGATGCTAGGTCCTACTTCTGCATTACCTCCTGCACTGGGATGGTCTGCTCTATTATGGAAGGTTGAGTTGTGGGGGACTGGGGGTGGTGGGCAAGGTGGTGCCCAGGAGGGGGTCAGGTTATGCCAATGGTAATTCTGTGTCCCAGTGCCACCTCAGTCCAACTGCTTAAGACTCTGCCTCCATCAGGTCTCAGGTTGTCTTGATCAGTCTGTGTAGGGGCAGAGCTGAGAAAAGAATAAGGGAGCTTCTTGTGCCTGGGGGAGCTAGGCATGCATCCCCACCCATAGGTGGAGGCCCTCAGGATCTGACCCCTTGTCCTAACACCAGGTTGGCCCTATGCCCTAACTCACCCACCCCATTTTCCCCGGCTGCCTGGCCGGGTTTCTACCTCTCGTCACCGGAGCTGATCACTGTCAGTTTTGTACCGATTTAGAAATAATAATCCTGGAGATTCTAGGAATGGCCTGAGGGACTGGTGGGGGACTTGGAGGGAGGGAGGGAGGAAGAAATGGTGGTGCCACGTCCCCTGCCCCGGCCGGCCGAAGAGAGTTCTTGAGGCAGACCCCTCAGCCTCAGCCCTGGTCCAGTTGGGAGGATAATAAGGACCCTTTGTTAAGAGGGGTACATAGGATGCCTGGCCTTTTCCCGGGCTACAGTGCACAGACCAGGAAATCAGGTACCCAGAGAGGTTATGGGGAGGGATCTGGGGGCGGGGGTAGGGGTGGGGAATTTGTGGTGTTCCCGTGTGGGAGGGAATCCATGATTCTCTCTTCTGCTTCACCTACTGAATCCCACTCCCTCCACCCAGCGGGGCACTGCAGTACAGCAGCAGCAGCCCTGACCGTGGGCAGCCCAGCATTCTGGGTTCTAGTCCTTGCTGTCCTGCAAAATTGGGGGCTAGTAACTTGCCCTCTCTGAGCCTCCCTCTGAAATAGAGGTGGTGGCTCCCCTTCCCCACACTTCAGAGTGGCTGGAAGGGTTAGGAGAGATGCCCACTTTCCTCTCCTGCAGCCCCACCCCTGGTTCCACGGGGCGTGGGGTAAAGATGGTAGCATCTCATGTGCCCGTTCACCCCCCCCCCAACTCTGAGGCACTTGAGGCGAGGGTGGGGGGATCCAGGCCTCTCTCTCTGGCTGCCCCCCCCCGGGGGGAAACCATTGGAATGTAGCCCCCCTCACCCTTTCCTCTTCATCCCAGGTCTTGGATTTCAGGTCCCTTCACCCTCATTCTGAGTCTCTGTCCTTCCCTTCCCCAACCAGGGTTTCCCACACAGGGTCTGGAAGTGTGTGACACCCATTGAGCTGTTATCGGAAGTCAGATTAAAAATCAGGGAGTGTTTTCCCTCGTTTCTCTACCTCGGTGTCAGCTCTGTTGCTCGTGGAGGGTGGAGTGGGTCCCCACCCCAAAGTCCAGGTCAACCCAGGGATCAAAGGGGGAAAGGTACTGATAATCACAGTCACACAGAGGGTACCATCAGCTGCCTTCTCGACTGCCTGGAAGATTCAACCCTGTTTCTGCGTCTTCCTCTCAGGCAGGGGTCAAATTTAGGGCCTCCGAACATAGCTTCCTAGACACAGAAGTGTGATGGCTGCTGTCAATCAGCTCTCTTCTCCCTGACTGACCCCTGTTCTCAGGACCAGGGGAAATCTTTAAAGTCCAGGGTGGCCTTCAGGAGCCTGGGGCGGGGGGGGGGGGGGGGGGGGGGGGGGGGGGGGGGGGGGCCTACCTTTGTCGCTGTCCACGGTTCTGAACACCAGGACTTCGTAGAAGCCTCCCCTAGCTGACCGCTCCCTCCACCTTGTCCCTATCTCCTCCAGCAGAGACAACAACGTTTGAAGTTGCACCTCCCTACCTTTCCTCAGTCTTAGGGAAAGAACCCCCCAAAAAGCTGAGGCTCAAGGACAGACCCATGTGTGTTTAATAACTTACAGCTGGAGAAATGTTCAGAGGCTGAGGAACTGTTCTTGGGGTCAACAAAAAGATATGGGTGCTCCCCACTGCCGCTGCCTGATCCTGGCTTGCAGTGGAAGGTGTGGGCTACCCTTCTGCTCAGCTGAAGAGATGGGGTCTTCACACTACTCCTGGCCAAGGCCCTGTGCCGAGTGAGGGACCATCCTTCCTCACACATACATTGTACTGCATACAAAATTTTGCTGTGGTCCTCCCCATTTGTAGACTCTTCAGACCCAGGATTCTTCCTCAGGAAGTGGGGTTCCATTGAGCTGCAGGGGCTCCTGGCTCTCTGAAGCCAATGAGATGCCGGCTTCTTTCTTTTTCTCCTCCTCCTTCTTTTCACCTGCTCGTTCCACCGGGCAGGTGCCCGCACCCTTGCTACCCAATGTAGCTTTCAATAGCCTGCTTCCAGGAGCTGTCCTGGCTGGACCCAGGCAGAGGTAGGTCAGTGGCTTGGGAATTCTGGAAGGTCTTTTCTCAGGCCTATGGTCTCTGCGTGGCCGGATTCTAGGTCTCAGCTTTAGTTTGTAAATGGATGGGATTTTCTGAGGCTTCCGGAGGGTTCTTTTATCCTTGCCCAGACAAACCCCAGCTTTGTCAGAACTGGGGTCTGAGCATGAATGTGTGGGAGCCTCCGGGGTGGCGGGCCCAGTCCTGGTGGAGCAGTCCTTCCCTCTTGTGGATGTCACAGTCCTCATTGGGGTACTCTTGGCAGTCAGGCTTGCCTTTATCCTTGGTCCACTCTCTCTGGATCCTAGCTTCTCTTCGGGACTTCTTGAGCCCACAGCTGGCTTAGGCGAGGCTTCAGAGTCTACTCTCCAGGCTTTCCGATCCACTTTAAGGAGGGGTGGGGGCCCCTGAACCAGTTCTTGGATAACTTTGTCGTAAGGCCCCCCAGATTCAGGCCACTTCCCACCCAGGCTGGGAACGTAGACTCCACTTCGAGGGATGGCTTGAGACCGTGTACCCCAATCACAGGCAGGCCCCACCTCCAGCAGTTTCATGTTGGCCACAATCTCCTCGTCAAGGCTATGGTAGAGGGCTTGCTCTCTGGTCCTGCCCAGGGGCAGAGACGTGTGACCCCCCTTCCATGTCTGTGTGTCTAGGATCCTGGGATCCTCAGTCTCCAAAGCCATCTGAATGTCCATCTGGTGGCCCCCATGGCTCGCTTCAGCAGAGTGGTGCCCATGTGTGGATCTATCCAGGTTCCCTGTGGGAGCCCTTGATGGGCTGGGTCCTCTCTCCATGGAACCTCCACTTTCAGAACCCAAAAACCTTCTGGGTGTTGGGGGCCTGGCAGAGGAAAGTCGGATGGGGATCTTGGTGAACCCTTTGCTGGGCGTTGGGGATTGCATAGATGCAGGTTCACTGAGCTGTGGGGAAACACCCTGATTCAGGAGCCAGATGCCGTGAGGGTTGACTAGGCTGGAGGAACGAGGTGGGGGAGGTGGTCCTCTTGCTGATGTCTCTTTACTGGTGGCCTCAGGGATTTGGAGCCTCTGGGGGGTGAGGGCCTTGGTATGGGTTCCTTGTCTATCTGTATCCTTGTGATCCCAAGACGTGGGAGTCCTTCCTCTGGGCATTTCACCAGGGTATCTATTCTCTCTCTTTCCTGACAGGGTCCTTCGTAGGTCTGGGCTCCTACAGGTAGATGAGAATTGGGAACCGGGTGACAGCATCCTCTGAGATGGGGTCATTGGCCTCTCTTGGGACCTGCAAAGGAGACAAACAGGCTGGAAAGAGAAACCTAGGCCTATCCGAGGCATTTCCCATGGGTATACCATGGGGTACTAGAGAACCAGTGTTCTCCCTAGGATGAACCGAGAGAGCCCTACGCAGCTGCTCTTCCTGCCTGTTCTCCCTTGTTCCCCATGTGGCAGACAGAAGGTGACTTCAGCCCATTTGAGGGAAGACTCCAGCCCTGGAGGTTGATGATGACCAGAGACTATCTGTATTTGGGGCCAATCTCAGTTTCACTTTAATCATGAAATGGAAGGACATTAAACATGGCCATTCCTTTTCTGGGCCTCAGCTTCCTTGGCTATAAAATGGGTAGATATTTGAAGCAATGAGATGGTCCTCAAGTCCTGGTTTTGATCACAAACACCTGAAGGTTTATCTTGTTCTGTGGCCCTGGGTTGGGCAGTCCAGGGTCTTGTACATACCAGGGGAACGTTGTCCCATTGGGCTATAGAACCCTTCTCTTTTAAATTTGGTTTTGTGATATGGCCTCCCAAAGTGGCCCAGGAAAGACCAAAATTCCCAATCTTCCCGTCTTGGCTTCCTGAATACTAGGACTTCGGGCATCTGCCCCCCTGCCCGGCACATGTGAAGTTTTGTTGGCATAGGACATTGTTCCCTTTATCTTGGGGGATGAGCCACTGAGAATATGGAGGAGACCCTTACATATCCCTCTCTTGTACCTTAGTAATGGGGCTGTCTCTCTGATGATCCTGGCCTCTGATCCTTGTTCACCATGAGGTTGGGGACGAGAGGGAGTGGGGGGCCTCAGCCTGGAAGAGGTGTAGGTCCTCCAGTCCACCGGAGGCAGCGGGCTCTGTGAGCGGCTGATGGTCATCGTAGGCTGGGGCTGTGAAGGCCCGTCCTGCATCTTCACTTCGTGCTGCACTGGTGGCCCTGGGGGCTTCAGGAAGCTACCTGGTTTGTGGGCTACCCACCAAGGCCCCCCAGAGAAAGCAGAAGAAAGAAAGGTTCAATTCCTGTTTATCAAACTCATTGTTCCTCCTTCCCATGCTCTCAAATTCTGTTTATTCCTTCTTATAGGCACCAGAGCCTACAGTGGCAGCCCCAGCTTCTACAAAGGGGTTCCGGGGGACACAATCTGGTCAGGGAACCCAACATCGGGATTTGCTGAAAGTTATGTTGTGTTGCCGATCTGCAACTTTAATTCAAATTGTGTGCTTATTCGGGGTTACTTGGCATACTGAAGAGGATTAGGGAAAGACAGAAAACCAAATCAGAAGGGCCACCAGTGTGGATTCCAGGCCAGACCTGTTCTCTGTAGAGAACATCTCGGACAACGCTGTTTCTGCGTGTCTTTTGCGCCACCTTGTGGTTATTTATAGTATTGCGCCACGACGTCCCTCTGTCTTCACCCACAGTTCCCTCAGCTGGAGCCCTTAGAGATCAGGCCTATTTGTCCTCCCACAGGTAGCCTCCCAACCAGGAGCTATGTCTCTCTAACTAGCCCCATAGGCGAAACCTCCTGGGGAACTCACAGAGGGACGTACACCGACAGGGGTCATGTTTGTCCAGATAATGGCCCAGCGTGTCCCAGCCGCCCCCAACACGCACCATCACGTGGCTCCGGAGGATCTGAGGGAGCAAAGGTGAGATTGAGAGCTGAGGGGAGGACTTTCCCTATTCCCGTCTACTTCTTTAATCACGTTTGTGACTGGGAGACAGGATAATTTTCTGTTTAGTCTCACCCATGACAGACATCACTTGTCAAGGGTTGAGAGTCAGACAGGCAAACAGGAAGTTGTGCACCCACAACTGGGGACACTCTTTGTTATACAGGGGTTTGCACTTGCCGCTACCTGCAACTGATACAGGACCATCATGCCTCTGTGATGGGTGACGGAGACGGTGGGAGTTCTACCCAACTCTGTAATGAGACAGGGTCCCATAGTCTTTCCAGTCTTTAATTTCCACAGTTCCAAAGCGGAACCACAAATCCCTGGCCCGTTCCCACATTACAAGACCATTGTCTTGGGATCTGAGGGGCTCAGGTTGCTGGCTCGGCTCCCAGGTATATTCTATGCCCATGGAAAGGCCTTGGCCACGCCCAACTGCTGACCACACCCCTGAGCACAGACCGTCTCTGGGGAGGTGAAGCCAGGCACAGGGTGGGTGGGGAGGGAGGGCTAATGGGAAGCCCATCCCAGACCTGTACCGCTGCTCACTCTACAGAATGGACAGGTCCAGGGTCTGAGTGGTGTACTTTGGGATCCACGTGGCTGGGGTCATACACTGAACACAAACCCAGGGTCTCAGGTCCCTCGCTCTCTGTTGTGTCCTGTGGAATAGGAAAGCGGGGGCACCTTTTTTATAGACCCCCTTTCTGCCTGGGGTATCCTGTAGACTCAGCTCTGACGGGGGTGGTGGTCCCAGCTACATTGGTGGGAGGATGGAATAGGCTTGTCCACTTTGCCTAGAATCTCCTGGAAATTTCCAAGGTAGGGTAGAGCCTCAAGGTCTGGTGATATGGGGTGTATGATGGGTGACTTCCCGCCCTTGCCCTCAGGCTCAGCCAAGGTTCCCTGAAAGGAAACCCCATTTGGCTGGCGCTGGAGGTCCCTCCACCTTAGGCCCAACTTACCCTGATGAAGATGAGCGTGTCCGAGTCCCCTACTCGGTACTTGCCCTCAGATATCTTGACCATGGAGAACTGCACTGGGCATGTGCAATGACTCACGAGGTTCTGCACCTGTGGGCCATGGCAGAGACTCAGCTCTCTTCTCTGCCTGAGCATCCAAGTCCGTTCACATACGGGGTCAAGCTAAACCGGGTGCCTATCTGCCTCCACACAGTCCCTTCCCCCGGCGGTGCTGAAGTCAGGCCTGGAGGCTGAGAGGCTTTAAAGAGCCCATAGGAGCTACCCCTGTGGTCCTCTTCCCCTCTGACAGTGGGATACAGTGGACTGTGCTGTTTGACCAGCACGGGGCAGAATCCCGTGCCCATTGTGCCACAGGCCTTCAGCTAAGAAACCTTCCCGAAGGATTGCTTGGGCTCATGAGCTGGCGACCACGTTTGGCAACATAGCAAGGGAAGGGAAAGAGAAATGAAAAACAAGAGAGGGGAAAGAGGAGAGAAAAATGAAAGAAAAGGGGGGAAGCCCTATTTTTCCCAGTGGTGGGAATGGGGCTAGCCTCGGGAGAAGAGCCTCCTCCTGTGAGGGGATTCCACTCTGGAAACCGCCCCCACGCACTTTATGTTCGCTTAATTCTCACAGCGATCACAGAAAATGGCTCCTGTGCCTCAGTCCACTACATGGCTCTGGACGGAGGGTCAGAAAGGTTAAATGATTTGTCCAAAGCCACAAGGTGGGTAACGAGGATGCCATGTCCTTGGCACCTAGCCTACAGGGCTAAATGAGAAGTGTGCAGTGATGGGCTGGGGCAAAGGCGGTAAGCGACAATGGCCACTGTCGAATGCGGTGAGGGTAGGGGCTCGGGAGTGGAGCAGGGCAGCGAGGACTGGGAAGAGGAGGGCGGGGCACAGGCTGGGCCTGAGGGCGTGGCCGGGCGCCTCACCATCTGGTCCAGGTTGTGGAAGTGGCAAGGCCTGCGGGCAGGGGGTGCGGGAGGTGGCGGATCCGGCGAGGGCAGGGCCAGCTCGCGCCTCAGCTCCTCATCGATCTCCTCTTCCAGATGCACCAGGGCCGGTGCCGCCACACCGAAACGCCAGGCGCGGCGACCCAACTCCAGCAGACACAACAACACGCTCTTCACGTTCTTGCGCAGCACCAGGTCCTCTGTCTCGAACATCAGCACCTCTGACGTAGGAAAAGGAGAGAAGGGGACAAGCGTGGCTTAAGTCCCCTCTAGAGACCATCCCTAGGCTGAGGTAGCAGACACCGGAAGGTGGCTCGGGTTTCAGCATCTCGGGTTGAGGGGGAGGCTGGAAGAGGTCCACACAAGGCCATCAGGCTAACTGCAGAGGCTGGTGCGTGGGCAAAAGTATTTGGAGCCTGGCTGATCCTAGGGCAGGGAAGGGGGCTTTCTCTGTCCAGCTCTCCTCCGATCCACTTAGCCACCAAGAAGACCCCAGGAGCAGGAAGCAGTTTCTTCCTCTTCCTACCCATCCTTCAGACTCCCCAAATTTAGCTACAGAGAACCAGGCTGGCCTGACTATAGGCTCTGTGTACCTCACCCTACGAGGCTCAATCCCAGATTCTCTCAAAGGCTTTGCGATCTCCAGCTGGCTCCAGAGTCCCAGTTTTGATTTTCTGAAAAATGGGGCTGTAGCCTATCTCAACAGAGGGTTTGATGCTGGGAATGAGCCAAAAGCTACATCTCCAGCCAGGTCATTAGCTTTGATTAACCTTTGACCCAGCCCTTTCCTCCTCTCCACCGGCCAGGAGTTCAAACCTGACCCTTTCCCTGTCCCACCCCAGTTACCTTTGGTCTGGAGGGTTATGCAGTCACACCTAATCCCATTCCTGGGTTCAAGGCAAACAACTGTCACTCCCGGAGCCCTAGGGATCCCTGCAGGACCGTGTCCCTGATACTCCCCCATCCCCAGCATTTATTTATTATGTATACAATATTATTAGTATTCTGCATGTATGCCTGCAGGCCAGAAGAGGGCACCAGATCTCATTACAGATGGTTGTGAGCCACCATGTGGTTGCTGGGAATTGAACTCAGGACCTTTGGAAGAGCAGTCAGTGCTCTTAACCACTCTTTAGTTAACCTCTCTTCCCATTCTTTAGTCCAGTGATTCTCAACCTACGGGTGGCAACCCTACTGGAGTCGCGCATCCGATATTCATGTTACGATTCATAACAGTAGCAAAATTGCAGTCATGAAGCAGCTGTGAAATTATTTTATGGTGTGGGGGGTCACAACAGCTGTATTAAAGGCTCACAGCATGAGGAAGGTTGAGAATCATGGCTTTAATTCCTCAGGTTTACTGGCCGGTTTTCCCCAGTTTTCTGCCTTTCTTGTGTTTTGCTATTGCTCCCCCACGGCCTAGTTAATTCTCTTCCCCCAAACCTCTCTCCTTACCCCAAATCTCTTCCCTCTCGTTTCCCTTGCTGGTGCCCACGACTGTTCCATTCTGCACATTTCCATTCTGGATCCTATACTATACACTTGGCTGGAGCACACATCCCCCTGGGCTGTAACTTCTGAATCTAGCCAGAACTCTGCCTTCCTAGGCCATGCATTCCTGGGCATTGGACGCTAGTCTCGGTCCTTGGTAGCCAGCATGCTACCAAGGAAACAGAAAAGGTGATTCGTGTCTCTTCATGGATTGAATCATTAACAGATGTTTATTGATCGTCAGTGTGTGTTTATAAGGATTGGCTACGAGGAAAAGAAACTGATACACAAAAATATAGCTACCTCATGGAAAATCTAGAAGAATACCTCAACTTCTGATCCCCCCAGATCTAGCCTAGCTTGAGCCTCCACATAATGCATGTCCCCACAAGATAAGGGTCTGAGATAGATGTGTTACCTTGGATGCCCATCTCCTTGCGACACCAGTGGATGAAGTTGGAGATGTTGTCCCTGGCCTGGAAGGTACCTGGCTGAGCAGCCCCGTTGCAGAAAACCCCAGCATGAGGCATGGGAATCTTTTGAGCTCGGTCAGGCGCCTCAGCCAAGAAGGCCAGAGCAGCCTCTGTGACAGTGTTGGCATGCCGGCACAGCACCAGGCCAGTCTCCAGCACCTGCAGGAAGTTGGCTGCATCAATGTCCAGCCCGTACAGATCCCGAAGCCACTCGGCCAGGTCTTCCTTCATGGCCTCCAGGTACTGTTCGCTGGATTTGAAGGGCCGGATGCTGCGCACAGGAGGCCCTGGGGTCCTGGGCCTCCTCTTGTGTCCCCTGTGCTGAGACATGGCTGGAGCAGAAATTCAGGAGGAAGTAGGAGCCTCCTGTCCTCTACTGCTCTCTCTCTCTCCTCCTGTTCCCTGCTAGGTCAAGGTCCTGACTCACTTCTCCTTGGTTCAGTAGGTCCCCTTCTCCCCTCTGAGAGCCCAGGGCTTCTGGCTCTGCAGCTTGCTGCTGGCTTCAGCCTCTGGGCCAGGCCCAGCCCCCAATGCCCACATTCCTCAGTCCCTGCCTGAAGTTTCCCTTTGGTGGCCCTGCAAGCGACCTCACTCTTAGCTGCCCAGTCCACTCAGTTCGGAGCTTCCCAAGACTGGCGGAGGTGAGAACACCCCTCTGTTAGGGCCAGACAAGTCATCTGCTGCTTCCAGCCCGCGACTGTCGCCGGCCAGGGAGCCCGGAGCAGCATCTAGGCTGTGGCCTCGCTGCTCTGCTTTCCTTCCTCTCCTTGGAGACAGCAGCTGCTACAAACACTCCTTGTTAACTCTTCCTTCCAGCAACCAAGTGCCTCTGTCCTGCTGGGAGGTCTGAGCAGAGGGAGCAGGGCAGAGAGGGTGGGACTGGGTTGTTGCACCCACTGACTCCTTCTGGGGGGGGGGGCGAGGGAGAAGTGCAGAGCTAGGGGCTTAGAGGTCAATGAGTTCTAAGAAAGAATGGGCATGAGAGAGATCCAGCAATAGAGACCAAAGATGGGAAATTCACCCCAAAGCCCTTTGGGGGTGGCACACACTCCCTGGTCTCTCTGTGCCTTAGTTTCTCAGCTGTCAAATGGGAAGGACATTATCTACCCTCTGGGGTAGAGATTTTGTGAGGAACAAAAGAATAATATGTAGGAAAACACCAGACCCTCAGAACACACAGGCACAACCTGGGTGAGTCCCAGCTCTCACCCTGCAGCCCGGTCTACACACCAGAGAAACTGTTCCATCCCTGCTCCAATCATGTGATTCTTCCAGAACAGTCTCATCCCCTGGGCACAGCAATGCATTCATTCAACAAAGATTTCTTTCGTTGCTGCTGCTGTTGTTTTGTTTCTTGAGGATAGGGTTTCTTTGCATAACCTTGGCTGTCCTGGAACTCCCTCTGTCAACCAGGCTGGCCTCAAACTCGCAGAGATCCACCTGCCTTTGCCTCCCAAGTGTTGGGATTAAAGGTGTGCACCACCACTGCCTGGCTCAACAAAGATTTCTGTAGCCTCTACTATGTACCAGGCATTATCGTGGGGCTGAGAATACAGCAACAAACAAAATACCTCTGCCTGAACTCTAGAAGCTACTTCCATGTTACTAGGTGATGGGTGGTAGATGAGCAAATAAGTCTGGTTAGGAGTGCTGGCAGACACCTGTAATTTTAGCAGCTGGGAGGATCAAGGGTACAAGGCCAGCCTATATAGCAAACTCAAGTACAGACTGGAATGCATGATAAGACCCTGCCTCAAAAATCAAAAAATGAAACAACAAAATAAATATGAAGTCATTTGGGTAGGGATAATTATTGGGGAATATAATACAGGAGAGAGTGGATGTTCTATAGGCAGGTGTACCTTCCATAAAGGAAAGGCCTTGATGCTGAGGTGTCGTCAGGTCAGAGACGTGAGAGAAGTGAGGACATGAGCCCACATGAGGACTAAGAGCAGCCAGTGCACTGGCTTGGAGGCAGGAGCATGCTTGGTATGCTCCAAGAATAGCAATACTAAAAAAAGAAAGAAAGAATAGCAAAAAGAGGGGGTGGAGAGATGGTTCAGCAGCAGTTAAGAGGGATTACTGCTCTTCCAGAGGACCTGGGTTTGTCCACCAGCACCCACATAGCAACCATCTTTAAGTCCCGTTCCTGGGATCTGATGCCCTCTTCTGGCCTCCATGGGTACCTACACACACAGGGCAAGCAGACATACATAATATCTAAGTTTTGGCTGGACGGTGGTGGCTCACACCTTTAATACCAGCACTCCAGAAGGCAGAGTCAGGCAGATCTCTGTGAATTCAAAGCCAGTTTGGTCTACAAGAGCTAGTTGCAGGACAGGCTCCAAAACTACAGAGAAACCCTGTCTCGAAAAAACAAACAACAAAACCAAAAAACAAACAAAAAATTAAGTTTTAAGAAAGTGAAGCTAGGGCTGGAGGGATGGCTCAGAGGTTAAGAGCACTGGCTGCTCTTCCAGAGGTCCTGAGTTCAATTCCCAGCAACCACATGGTGGCTCACAACCATCTGTACTGAGATCTGGCGCCCTCCTCTGGCGTGTGGGCATACATCGAGGCAGAATGTTGTATACATAATAAATAAATAAATCTTTTTTTAAAAAAAAAAAAAGAAAGTGAAGCGAGCTAGAGAGACAGCTCAGCAGTTAAGAGCACTGGCTGCTCCTGCAGAGGACTTGAGTTCAGTTCCCAGCATTCGCACAATGACTGACAGCTACTGGTAACTCCAGTTCCGGGGATCAGAAGCCTCTGCGGGCACCAGGCATGCATGTAGTATGCATACACATATGTAGGCAAACATTCATGCACATAAAATAAAATAATTTTTTAAAAATAAAGGGCCGGACAGATGGCTCAGAGGTTAAGAGTACTGGCTGCTCTTCCAGGACCTGGGTTTGGATCCCACATGGCAGCTCAGAACCATCTGCATCTCCAGCTGCAGGGGATCCAGGATCCTCTTCGGGCCTCCATGGACACCAGGCCAGGAATGCACGTGGTATACAGACATACATACAGGCACGTAAAACAAACAAACAAACAAATATAATTAAATAAATAACTTTTGAAAAGAATAGAAAAGAGAGACGGATATGTGACTGAGAAGAAATGACGCCCCAAGACAGGGCCTGGCAGGTGAACACCGAGATGCATTTTCTCCGAGTAAAATGGTAAATGCACCAGAGATCCGGGCAGAGGAGGAACGTGCACTGACTCGGGCTGCTGTGTGGAGGGACTCCCAGACCATAGGTGTAACAACATTTGAAATCGTAGCAGCTTCCAAGGAGGAACAGTGGTAGTTTAGAGCAGGAGATGACAGGTGACCACACTCCACGTAGCTCCTGGAGAGTTCATAGGATTGTTCTAAACAAGCGTTCAGCCTTAGCGCTCCGAAGCTCTGGTTAGCTAGTTCTTCGTCATACATGCAATGCTTCATAATTCATGTTCTGTGGTAGAAATTTAGCTGTGATGCCAGGCCCCAAAGTCTCCTTCATTCCAACTGATTGGTGGGTCTATGCACCCTCCCATAACCTCCACTGACTTTCCCATAACCAGAAAACCCCTTTTCCAGCTTTAGCCAGGCCCATTTTCTGTTGCTGATAGCCAAAACCCCTACAGACACGCACACACATCTTTTAAGTCCAGGAGACTGGTCTTATCCTGAATCCTTTTCCTGATCTCCCCCTAGAAGCCACATGCTCCTCTCTCCAGCACTTCCAGTTCACCTGCCCTCAGGACCAGCTTGCAGGTGACTTAAGAACAGGGACAGACGGCTGTGCTGAAATCACAGGCCTTCTGGGCAGTTGACTAGGGAGTGTGTGCTTGTTTTCCAGGGCCACTCGTATCTGGGAGGATTGAGAGATAGTGGCTCAGATTTTGCCCAGTGGGTCCTCTTAGAAAGCAAACAGGTTAGGGAAGGAAAGCCTAGCAGGTTCCTAGGGACTATGGAAGGAATGGGTGATTCCCCCAGAATTCAGTGCAATCTGAATCTGAGGAAATGCCTGGATTGGGGCACAGAAAAAGAGGCCCATGGCTGGCCAGCTGAGGGGTAGAGAAGGGAAGAAAGGGAAGGGGAGGGAGGGGAGGGAAGGGAAGGGGAAGGGAAGGGAAAAAGAGGAGGCAGTCTCTGGCACCCACACCAGCCTATGGCAGAAGGGGCTTCAGCTTTGGTGACAGGGTTTTCTATTTCCAGAGAGTTCTCAGCACAAGCCATAGAGTCTGAGGATGCCTGTAGCCATTAGCACATCACCAGGGCACTAAACCAGCCCTACATCCCCCACCTTGGGCTTGTTGAGTGAATAAGTGGTATGAAATTGGAGCCATTACTAGTTAGCCATTTTAATCTCTGACCAACCAGATACATTTTAGCTGACGGATGTGTAACTTTCCAAAGCCTCACTGCCTTTCTCTGTATAAGCAAGGATGTTCCAGATGGTCGCAACAGAGGCAATCTGTATTGCCAAGAAGTAAGATATTGTACCAGCCCATTCTCTCTCTCTCTCTCTCTCTCTCTCTCTCTCTCTCTCTCTCTCACACACACACACACACACACACACACACCAGAGTCTCATATATAAACCCAGGCTGGCCTCAAACTCACAATCAGTTTTGTCTCAGATTCCCCCATGCTGGAATCACAGGTGCATCACCTCCTGGTGTCTGGCCTCACCTTGCTCTTTGGACATAACAAACGCTATGAACAGCAGGAAGTAAGGCTTGTGCTTGCCAATACATGCTGCTCATTCTTTTCTCTCTTTGGATGGAGATCAGCTTATTCCAAGTTTTTACTCATTCCCAATGGGGGTCTCCTCTCCAGGGTACTTCTGAGTGGCATTTGAGTGCAAGAGGCATGCACCCCACATTCTGGAAAGATTGCTTGCTTATATGTTTTCACTGAATACCATTTTTATTCTGAGAACAAGTCCTAACATAATTTTTTTTTGCTAGTGTTGTTTTTATGACACTCTACATTTTTTTTGTAGTTTTTTGAGACAGGGTTTCTCTGTGACACTCTACATTTTTAAAAAGGATGTATTTTTAGCTTATGTGTATGTATTTTGCGTGCATGTATGTGCGTGCACCACATGCTGCCTGCAGAGGCCACAAGGTGGCACTGGATCCCCTAGATCCGCGGTTGTAGATTGTTGTGAGCCACCATGTGAGTGCTGGGAACCAAACAGCTAGTTCCAGGACAGGCTCCAAAGCTACAGAGAAACCCTGTCTCAAAAAAACAAAAACAAAAACAAAAACAAGGGCTCTTAATGACCAAGCCATCTCTTCAGCCCCCACTCCCCCACACACATTAAAAAGAAAATTTCATAAACCCCAGAATTACCCTGAGAAAAACGATGGACAAAGGACTGTTGGGTAGATTGGGCCTCGGGAGGCAGGCGAGATGAACAACTGGACCTTGGAACATTTGTGTCTTAGTAGAATGTTGCCTAAGTCACAGACTAGGTTTTGTTGATTCGGGTGTGCCTGCCAAGGGATAGTGGGCCTTAGAGAATGACTCAAGGAGCTAACTCCTGGTGCCCGCATGTAGGTGTCACCCCCAGCAAGGGCCTAACCCAACTGTTCCCATTAAAATGGTTATTGCTGAAGGTCTGACAGGTTTTATATTTATGTAGTAGAGCTGGGATTTGAACCCAGTCAATCTGGGCCAAAGCCATCCTTTATTCTCCACTGGACTCCTCCTTGCAACAAGGTAGGGAACATGAGGGTTTTGAGTCTGGAGATTCTGGAAAAGGCATCGGTCCCTAAGCAGAGCCCTATGGGCAGCTGAGGTTCTAACCCCACCCCCGTATGATCCAACAGAGGCCCTGGAAACCATATGGAGTTCTATAGGTACTGGGCATCCCTTACATCCCAGTCCCTGACCAGAGGGAGCAGACAGTAACTCCATTACCAAGAATGGATAAGCATGGTGAGTGGGGCTAGCAAGGGTGCAAACCAAGACAGGACCACTTGATCCATCTTGGACCAACTAGCCCATCACCATGGTGACATTAGAAAACCTGAACCTTTTCTCAGTTCCTCATTCATGTTGTTTTGCTACAAGCCCTCTGCTTTGTCCTTCCTAAATATTCTTATTCTCTTATCTTCACTTGTTCCTGTTCAGACCTCGTTCCCCCTTATCTTCTCTGGCCTTGATGTAAGTGTAAGCTCGCAGCAGCTCGGCTGCCAGTTTGTATTCAGGGTGGGTCTTCCCACAGCAGTTAAACCAGCCTAGAAACTCCTTCACACAAACTCTCTTAGGTGGTTTTTGATCATGTCAGTTTAACAGTTAAGATTAACCAACACAGTGCCCAACACACACACACACACACACACACACACACACACCTACCTTCTTGCCCATTGTTATCATTCTATTCCATTCCTAACTTGGGGAAAAGATGGACAGTGATCTATAGAAATTGTCCTTTGACCTTTCTAGGGCAACCCCCAAGTGCTGCCTCCTCCTTTGCGATGTAAATCTAGCTGTCTTGGGGCTGCCTATGTGCTGATGGATAGCTCCTGGAGAAGACCTGCTTAGTTTCAGCCCAGGAACTTGCTTCAGGTCCTGACTTACTTGCAGTTATGATGTCTGTCTGTCAGTTAGAGAGGGGGGCATGTGGCTGAAATCCACTTGCAATTGGCCAGGCCTGAGACCAGTTTCTGGTTGAGTTGGTTATGCCTATCCAGCCGGTCTCCCGTGACACTGGGCTTCGACCACCAGGGAAAGTCAAAATCTGGAGGCAGAGGCAGGCAGATATTTATGAGTTCCAGGTCAGCCTGGTTTATATAGTGAGTTTCCTTGTCAGACAGAGCTACACAGTGAGACCATATCTCAATAATAATGTTAATATTAATAATAATAGATTATGATGATTGTTTAAACAACCATAAACGACCACCTATTGAAATGACAATTGATGTTTATTAACGTTGGGTAACCCTCCTCCTTCCGTGTTGGTAATATGCGTTCGTTGATTGCTTGCACAACTGGCAAGCAGGAAACTGTGTGCTTTACCCAGACATTATCTAGAGTCAGCCTCGCAACCACTCTTGAGGTAGGTGCTACTTTTCCCGCTTCAGAGACGGGGAAAATGGAGCATGATGGAAGCGAGGTGACTTGCTTGGAATCCTTAGCAAGGAAGATCAGGAGGGCGGGAACTCGGCAGCAGTCCGGGAATCTGGGACTCCGAAGCCCTTTGGCAGGCAGCATCTGTCCGGTGGTATCTTCCCCACGCATTCTAGATTCAGGCTCCTGCCGTAAGCAGCCAGGACAGCCGGCTGCACTGACTCCCTCCCCGCCTGCAGGCGTGAAGACCCCTCTGTGGAGGAAGGAGGTGGAGGAGCCCGAGGCCAGGGAGGAGGAGCTGGAGGACGAGACATTGTCGTCGTCGTCTTCGTCGTCGTCGTCGGAGGTGGAGAGGCCGGACCCCGAGAGCACGGCGGAGGTCGAGGAGGATGGCGACTCGGGGGAGCGCGAGGCCCGCTCGGTGTCCTACAGCCCTCTGCGCCAGGAACCGAGCAGCCAGCAGGTGGCGCTGCTGCGACGCTCGGACAGCAGCTTCTGGGGCTGGCTCAGCCCGTTCGCGCTTCTGGGTGGCCTTGCGGCCCCCGCGGACAGGTGAGATGCAGGCACCCGGGACCGAGTTTTAGGGAGGAGGGCCGCAGAGCCACTGAGCACTCACGTCCCCGGCCCTTAGGAAGCGTGGTGCCCCGGAAGAACCGTGCGTGTTGGAGACGCGACGGCGGCCACCGCGCCGAGGGGGCTGTGCGCGTTGCGAGATCCTTTTCTGCAAGAAATGCAAGAGCCTGCATAGCCACCCAGCTTACATTGAGCACTGTATTCTGGAGCACCCTGACCCGGGTAAGGCGGAGGCCGCCGGGAGCTCTGAGCGCATCCACTCCCAGCCTCTGCGCCCGCAAAGCTCCAAACTCTTCTATCTCTAGTGCGTTTCACAGAACTGTCCTTTCAAGTCGCCGTCCTTAGCGCCTCCTTCCGGTGAGAAAGCCCACTGTCGGTTCACGGTCCCACCTGTTGTCTAGCTGAACTACAGCAGGCACTACTCCCCAGACTGCATCCAGCAACTACAGCCCTCCTGACCCATGCCTCCAATACAGCCTCACCGGCATCTTTTTAGGTCCTTCTGGCCAGGCGAACAGAGGCATCGCTTGAAGAAAAATAGCTTCGGGGTACCCTCAGCCCTCGAAGAAATCGCCTCTTTCCCTCTAACCCCCCCGAATAAAGTCTCTAATCAGAGTCTTCTGCAGTGGAGTGGATAAAAATGGGACCCTCCTTTCTCTCTCCTGGGTACAACCCAAAAAACAGGGCCTAGCAGGGAGGTTCTTCCGTGGTCTACCCAGGACCGGGCAGTACAAAGCACTTGCATCTAAGGGCAGTCAAAGGCCATTTTGTCCACTGCACAGAGAAGAAAGGAGGGGACAGGGCCAGCAATGCCTCTGGGGAACTGCAGGCTGCTCCCCTGCCAAATCATTCTCCAGTCCCTGAGAGCTGGCTTGCCGCGGTGGTCGTGGTCACTGTGTGTGTGCAGCGGGCGTTGGTAGGTGGAGGAGGCAGGGTGGGATGGAGATCCAGATGCTAAAATGAATACCGAGACTGGCTCCGACAAAAGGGGAAAGCTGGGAAGCTGGTTCCTTCTCCAGGAATCCCAGCTATTCTTGGCTACACGAATGGGCTTCGGAATGCTGCTGCGTGTGTGGCCTGGTGAATGGGGCCATTGAGAGCAAACAGGCCTCACCCAATCTGCCGAGCTGCAGATTCCCAGTGCCTGCAATGGGCAGACCCCGAAGGACCCTCGGCCATTTTCCTGCTGCACAAATACGGCATCTGGAAGGGTAAAGATGGCCTGCGTTTCGAAGAGAGGTGCACCCCCTCTCTCCACGACAACGATAGACACACAGCCGGCTGTCCCTTAGTTGGATGTGAGAGCATGGTCTCTGTGTCTCAAGTACCCCGTACCCATCTGCTTCTACTGAGAAGGGTGGAAGGTTCTGCCCGAGGAAGGCTGCTACACCTCTAGGCTGACCAGCTGGGGGTGCTTTTTCTTCACCCCAGACAAAAAGTCAGGCCCGGAGGACCACACTCCCTTTTTCTCAGCCTCTTGATCCAAAAAAGGGCCTCTGGCAGTGGAGCGGAGCCTTCACCCCAGCTTGCTAGTGGTGGGAAGTAGGGTGAAGTCTCTGATGGAATAATACGTGATTTCCCAAGAAAGGAGCCTGAACGGCATAGAAAGGGCGGTTCCTGCAGAGTAGTCCTCTACCCCGGTTGAGTTTTGCATCCTTTTTGGTGGGACTCAGCACTATGGGCATGGGACTACACCTTCATCGGAACAGAATCCCCTCAGGAGTGGGAAGGAAAGAGGTCCTTGAAGGAAAGGGCTCTGGGAACCCTGTTTTTGTTTCTCCTTCGACCACGGGAATAAAGCAAATTTCCTGCTGGAGGCAGAGCTACTGGGAAGTTCCGGCGAGGTTCAAGGGCTTCCTAGACAGGCCCCGCCCCTCAGGTGGGGGTGGGGCGAGCAACCACGGTTTAACTGTTCGTTCAGTACCGGGAGCCTTTAGAAGAGGGCACCTCCTGAGTTGGCATTCCAACAGCCCATCCAGGGCAGCTCTGTGGCCCAGCGGCCAGAGCTGGTTACCCGCAGTTTGGCTTGATCTAGGTGCCAGTAGTGGTCATCTCTGAAGAAGACGACGGAGCCATCTGGCCTTGGCAGGGCGCCACTGACCTCCTCAGGGACCCCGGCCCAGTCTCTCAGGCTGCGGGGATAGTAGGGCTCCACTTGCATCGCCCCTCGAGCCAGCACGTAGTAGCGGGCGCCCTTGAAGAGGATAAGGCGGCGCAGAGGCGGGAAGAAGAGAGCTGCGTCCGGGTGACGAGGCAGACCTCTAGCCCGGCACAGCTGTGAGTTACCCCCTACAGATTTCGTGCCCTGGAACCTCCAACATCGACTCCCTGTAGGGCATTGAGAGAAACAGAGTGAGCTGGAGGCGCTCACTCATTGACCTTCCACTCCATCTCTGTCCCCTTGGTTCCTTCTCTTTCTGAGGGCCCCAGATTGTTAGTTACCCTTGGAGTCAAAGTGTGGCTAAGAACTGGGGAGTACACGGTAGAGTTATGGCCTAGACTCCCAGCAGGTGCCAGCAGAGAGCAGACGTTGCTGAAAGAACGTCTATCCCAGTCTATCCCAGGCTGGGGAGGATAGGAGGGTGTTGGGGAAAAGGGTAGGGGTGGGGTGGCTGGAGACAAGATTCCCTGCCTCTGGAGTGAAAAGGAAGATTGAATAGATCGTGTGCTGTCCACCCGTCAGCCACTGCCTTTTATCCGGCTTCCTCACACCTGAGCATTGCTTTCCCTATCCAATAAATGCAAGTTCCAAAAGCTAAGCGGAAAAGCTTAGCCTCACACAGCCAGGATGGCAGGGCAGACACCTTCAGGCTTCCTGCTGACCTGCGGACGGGAGGGCAGTCCTCCCCCTACAGTTTCTATACCGGCGACCACTGGGACACTTGCTGCTCCCAGCAGCTCCATCCCTGAAAGGAGTCCTTCCTGGGCCACAGGTTTAACAAGGAGTTCCACCAGGGACTCATTGCTGGGGATCCTCCCCTCTCTTCACTTCGGGTAGGACCTCCCACATCGCAATCTCAACTGACTCGGGGCTGATACCTTTGAAGAAGTAGAAGTCTCCATCTTCCAGGGACACTGCAGCAGCCTCAATATTGGGGGGCAGCCCAGGCCACCTTTTCTGTAGCGCACGGGGCTCTGAAACATTGCCGTCCGCTGTGACTTCCCAGACATGGCTCCCTTTGAAGACGTGCAGCCGCCATTGCCCGTCTGTCCCCAGGCAAGAGATGACAGGAAAGGCCATTGGCCTCCAGCTGACTTTGGGGGAGGGTGCTGCCCTAGACCCGGTTTTCCAGACAAGCCGAAGGTGGGTCGCACAGGGGGCTGAGGGAAGTAGGAGTTCTAAGGTGGGCCTGAGCTTGACACCCCACCACCATCAGGACAGCACGTGATTCCGGATGTCTATACTCCAGATACCTCCATTCCCTAGTCATTCAGCTATGGGAGCCCTAGAGATGCAGAGAAGGGAAAAAAGACCCCAGACATGGTTGGGATCATCTTACCTACAGTGATGGCATCAAAGGAAGAATGGCAGTATTTAGGACCTCTGGTTTCTGGGCGTATCCTCTGGGAACTGTGAGGGTCCCAGGCCTCAAAGTCAGTGAATCGCTTTCCGGGGAGTTGAGTGGCCACTGAGCGACCCAGAGGCTTTCCTTAAGATTCAAGAAGAGAGATAGCAGACATGGGTGGACATACATACATGGAGGGTTCAGGACCCTTCGTCTGCTCTGCCCATGATCTGAGACCCAAGGAAGGAGAGGGGAGAGGTGAGTGCAGCCCTGGTTCTTGGTTTTCACTGAGAGTGCACTAATCCAGGAGTCTCCTCTCCCACCCCACAGCCCAGAAAAGAGGTAACACCAAAGGGTTCTGAGCTAAGGGCAGAGGTTTGCACTCATACATTGCTTGGAATTGATGGAGAAATGGGGAAAAGCGGAGCCTGCGGATATTCAGTTATCAAGGGTGCCTGGGGCTTTAGGACAGAGAAGATTGGAGCAAGGAAGTGACGGGCATGGGGGAATCCTGTTTGTGGAGCCAGAGTCCGAAGACTGGTGACCACAGGGGACAAGCGCAGAGTCAGGAGCTGGCTGGGGGCTCACCATATAGGTTCTGCACTGCTAGCACGTCGTCCCAGCTGAGCAGGGCGTCGCGGCCCAGCTTCTTGTAGTAGGGAGCCATGAGCGCGCGTGGCGCGGGCGAGTGCGCGAGGCCGAGCGTGTGGCCAATCTCGTGCGCGAGCACGACGAACAGGTTGCGCCCTCGGCGGCGGCTCAGAGTCCAGCGCTCATCCCTGTCGAAATGCGCTTCGCCCCGTCGGGGCAGGAAGGCGTGGGCCAGGGCGCCCCCTGCGAGAGGCACGGAAGAGGCACGGTGAGCCGGAACCAGGGGCTCCCTCGCGCAGACACCAGGCTCCTACGTGGGGTGTGTGTGTCTCATTTTCTAACTTCCCTTTCCAGTTTGATAGGCACGGGAATGCTAGCAGGTGAACAGATGTCTAAGGGATCTTAAGGGAAGATCACGGTAGACTCAGCTAGGGGCCAAACTGCCTGGGCTTCGAAGATGCTAGATTTACCATTTACTAACTGTGTGATCTTGGGCAGACAGCTTAATCTCTCGGAACGAACGTGTGTCACTTGATTCTTAGAACAGTGCTTATCCTAGGCACTACTAATATCGGTTACCCCTAGAAGGATGGTAAGGCTTTGTGCTGTTTCCTGACCTGGCCCCTTCGTGGGTTATGTTCAGGAGTCGGCAGACTGAACACAATGTGCTACTATGTGTATGCACATTTCCTTTCTTAAAAAAAAATGTTTTTTTGAATCAGGCAGTGGTGGCCTATGCCTTTAATCCTAGCTCTTGGGAGGCAGAGACAGGTGGATCTTTGTGAATTCGAGGCCAACCTGGTCTACAGTGTGAGTTCTAACCTCCAGTACTCAGGAGGCAAAGGCAGATGGATCTGTCTCTTCCAGGCCAGTCTGGTCTACAAAGAGAGTTCAAGGACATCCTGAACTACAGAGTGGGACCCTGTTTTTGTTCGCTTTTGGTTTTTTTTTTTTTTTTTTTTTTTTTGGTTAAGGTGTGTTTGTCAAGTGTGTCATGAAGAAGACACCTTGAGGGGCTCAATTCTCATCTTCTACCACGTAGGTTCTGGGGATCAGTCTGCATGCAGGCTTGAGAGTGAGGGCAAGCAATGTCTTCATCCACAGAGCCATCTCACGCCCACCCCACTTCTTTTGGACAGGGTCTTATTTGCTGGCTGTGTGTGTGTGTGTGTGTGTGTGTGTGTGTTGCAGGTGTGCTCACCTGTACAGGCCAGAGGTTGATGTTGGGATTTCTTTCCTAGTCATTTTTTTTTAACCTTTAACACGTTTACATTATTTTTTGAA